ACAACAAATTAAACAAGTCTAATCGAGTTGAGGTCCAAAATATTCATAACACGATGAATTAAACTTATTGACATTAACACAACAAAAGTAAACCCAAACCCACTAATTTTGAGTCATTTAATATTTTAAAAATATATTTTAAATTAATAAAATAATTGAGATTGGTAAATTCTAATGACCAAATATGGTGTGTGTGTGTGTGTGTGTGTATGTGTGTGTATATATATATATCTATTATATCCAAGTGATGTAAGCGGAATCGATAAATTTGTTTACGAGGAACAAATTACTTTGAATTTACAAGGTGGGTGTTTTGAATCCACAAAACAAAGGATAATTTCAGAGAAATTTGATATTTGTAATGATAATTGAAATGAATGATCTGCTCTGCAGTACATGTATTTATAAATAAAAACCCTAACCGCATAAAGAAAATCCTAAAAACGTAAGAAAACTAGTAGCGCGTGCAAGGAAACTGCTCAAAAACAAACTTGCTCTGAATATTCTGTAAAAATAAGGAAAGAAACCTAATTACTAAAAACTACTACTAATAAAGAAAACAAATTGAATCCGTTTAGTCTTCAAACAAAAATCTCAAAATATTCAAAAATGAGAAAACATCATTCCCAAGCCCTAAACGATTGAATTTGGCCAAAAGGCGCCCTACCTTGGCAGCTATATCTGTGAGTTGGATCGTTTCTGATAAAACTGAGCTTTTTCTGGGTTAAAAATGCACACTTCAGGATCAGCACAAAAAATTGGTCAGTATGCCTGTTTGGCCCCTTGGCGGTCCAAACGAGCCATAAAGGCTTCAGCAATCAGTTATACATCACCAAGTTATAACAAGTTCTTCAAGTATCGATACATGTGTATATTCAAGTTATTTTCAACTTATAATTTTCCTCAAATGTTATTTATATTTATTTCACATAGTACACACATATATGCATTTATATATAATTAATCATGAAATCATTACATATGACACATTTTTTTTATACATTAACTTGGCATATGTTAATTATATAGAAAGCATATGGAAAATCTACAAAGGGAAGATCCGAATAATGTACAACTAAGGCATACACAACAATTCACTAAATGGTTTGAAGAACAAGTAAGTATTTGTTTAGGTTATGTGGAACCATTATGTGTAATATACATATAAATATATAAATTTTATTAATGAAACTAAGACTTAATTTTTTTTTATTTTATTTCTGTTAATAGATCCAACAACTCCATCAAAATGACCCATCCAAAGTGAGTGATGATTTGTATTCATTGGCATGTGGACCGGACGAACGAGTACAACGATACAATGGTTGCATTGTCAATGGAATTTGATTCCATAGCAAGGAACGGGATAATTATCGAAAAACTCAAAATAGTGGTGTCGTTGTGGAAGGAGAACACGAGTCAGAAAATATTGAATTCTATGCTGTCATAGTAGATGTCATAGAGTTAGAATATTGTATGGGGAGACGGGTTTTTCTTTTCAAGTGTAATTGGTGGAATATTGGCAAAAAGAATGGAATGCGCAAAGATTCTCATTTGATCACTAGTGTTAATGTCTCTCAGAAATGGTATGAGAATGGCCCTTTTGTTCTTGCATCCCAGGTTCGGCAAGTTTTTTATGTAAGTGATACTAAATTATGTGGACAATGGCAAGTAGTGCAGAAAATCCAACCACGAAAATTGTTTGATGTTGCCGATGTGGAAGATGAAAGTGAAGTTATGAAAAGTGATACTCTTGATGCCTATCAAGAATATGAACAATGTGAAGTTGATCGGGTTATCCCAAATGTGGAGGATGTGGATATGTTGCCTTTGAATAGGGATTTCATGTTGTCAGACAATATTAATGTTGATATTGTTCATGGTAACATGACATTAGATGAATGAGATGATAATTTTTTTGATGATGACACTGAAGAAGAAGAAGATATATCTATCCATTGCAGTACAGATGAGGAAGTAACAATGCTTAGTGATGATGACACTTATGCAGATGATATAATGTAACCTTCATCCACGGTTGGTGAATCAAAGATGAAGCCTTTTCTATAGCTATTTCTATTGCATGTTTGGGATCTTCTCTATATCTTTAGTCTTACTTTATTAGACATGTTAGCCATTGTCAGTGCTTAATGTTTACTACTAGTTCATCTTTTATTTTTGGTCTTTATTGGAAATAGGTTTCTCTATCTTTGTTTTGTAATGGAGAGGGAGGTATGTCTCCTCTTTTTGTAATTTCATTTTTCATATATAAAATCATTCTTTTCATGAAAAAAAAAAAAATGTTATCTTAATTCATCCTATACCTTGGTAAGCTTCTGTTTCATGAGTTAATGTTTAAATGTACTGCAACTTTAATTTTTCTTTTCATATTATGCAGATTTTCTGAATATATGGCTCCAGGTCGTAGATCACTGAAAGTTGTCACATGTTCTTCTCCGGATCCCATTCCACCTACCGCAAGTCCAAATGTTGTTGCTCTCTCCACTGACTCTCCTTCGGAACCCATTTCACTTACCACGAGTCCAAATCTTGTGGCTCCATCCACCGACTCTCATTCTGATTTGGGTAACATCACAGCTTTTAATATAATTAGTAAATTATAAGTATTTATGCATAAGTCGAGTTGAGTTGAGTTATGGTTTATTCCACTACTGTATTACCTTTAGTATTACATTTATGCTTGTCTTTTCTAATTCTTAGTTACCTAGTTGATTAAATTAAGAGCTTCTAACACTAGTTTTTTCTATAGTTTCTCCAATGTTTGTAAAGCGTCAAGGAAAATCAAAGAACTGTTCACTGAATACCTACCGGAGTAAGAAGAATTCAGTCTTAATAGAAATTGAGATTCTAGTAGAAATGTGGAAGCCTGTCAATGGTTGGAGCAAAGAGTGGATAACTGAATTGGGAATCCAGGTTCGGCAACATGTGCCATATCATAAGAATTGGAAACATATACCGTAAGCTAAGAAAGAGTTAATTTATAAAATTATAAAGGTACATAGTTTGTTTAATTCTTATTACTTAAATTTATGAAAGACTATTGCATTAGAACTTATATGTTAAATAATAGGTGGGCTATTTTTTCAGGGTAAATTCAAAATGAGGTATGAGGATACCCATATCATGAGATGTATTGATAAGAACTTGAAAAATAATTGAAGGATTACAGATGCAGGCTACATAAACATTTTCTCAAGTTTTCCCCGGAGGAGGTGCACTCTCATCCTTATAAATCTGTCACTCAAGAAAACTGGGATCTTATATGCAATGGGTTTATGTCTGAACAATTTAAGATGAGTTCAGTTGTTTTACATGCCTATATTTTGGTATTTTCTGTATCGTAATTGAGTTTAACCCCTGATAATAGAGCTAGTTGGTAAACATTGCCAAAAATACATAATTATTCCATCCTCACTTAATTGTTACACAAATTCTAATAACATTCCACACTACTAGATGCTCTGGTTTTTAATTGCATTTGCACATTATTTACTATTGTGGTAAGTGTATTCAGTTTTGTTGGAAAGTAAATCAAGTATTGTGCTCCATAATATTAGATTAAAAAACTAGAATGTATAAGTTCTGACAACACCTAAGTATGCTTAACATGTTTAAGTTCTGATAACCCTAAGTATGCTTAACATAGTATAATGCTCTCTCTTTTTTTTCTTTTTCTTTTTTCATTTTTTCAGATAGCCACATGCTGTTTTTTTTTAATAGTCTAGCTTAGTATTGTGCTACTATATATATGTGTGATGAACAAAATTTAAACATTTTGAATGCAGTGAGCAAGTAAGACAAACAAAAAGAATAGGGAAAAGAACAAAGTCCCGCATCGTGGTGGATTGAAATCATTGGTTCGATGTCGTAAGGAGCTGGTATCATTCATAATTTCGTTGAATGCATGACAATTCTTTTATAAGTCTAGTTAATAAATTAATAAAAAAATTTTTTATTATTTGTAATTATATAGCGGGATGCCGAGACACAACAACTTCCTGGCAGGATCAAACTCTATGAGAAGACACATTTTCATCCGGATAAAGGTTGGAGTTGTCCGCGTGCTAAAGAGCTTTAGGAGTCATGTAGTTTGTAAGAGTTAATTACTTTATTACTTTATGCAGGTTGGACCGGAATATAGGTAGGAAGCTCTTTTTGATCCGCCATATTCATAGGGAACTTTTGATCGCAAGACAGTGCCTTCAATTGCTTCATCACCATGTTTTGCTGCTCTAATCAAGCATGTTAGTGATAATGCAATTGACATGCCATGGGTATTTGTAATGGAGTTGTTTCGGATATAATTAATAGTCTTATTTTGTTATATATTTGCTTTAGATATATGTAATATTTGTATATAGGTAGGACTTGTAGTGTATATATATATATGTTAGGAATATGGCATGATAGTTTTTGTTAAATGGCAGGATAGTTTTTTGTTAAATGTCCATTTTTTTTTACTCTTGTTATGGACTTTGTTTGGGCATTTATATATATAATGGTGCATAGGCGGCTTTTACTGTTCAACTGTTACAACTATATATTTAGGGATGTTCTTAAATTATAATTGTTACAATTATATATTAAAGATGTAAAACATAAATGTACTTTTCAAACAATGTGTAATTTTGCGACAATATTTATGATTTAAAAAATAATTCTTTTGTGACTAAAAAAAAATTCGTAACAAAAAAAGAAGATAGTTGTAAAAAAACAAAAAATTAACAAAAAAAAAAAAAAAAAAAAAAAAAAAAAAAAAAAATGAAGTCATAAAAGACAAACCCAACCACAGATCAAGATATATTCTTATACAAAACTATTAAGTTACTGAACTTGCGCAATCTTTAGTGCTCTTAAAAATAAACTATTAATGAGTATTGAATTGAAAAAAAAAATTATACTCTATGATAAGCTTTAGTTAGTATTGTTGAGCTTTTCCGTGATGGCCTTATACATTTTAGCCATTTTGTTGCATTGCTCTACAGGTTTGGCAGCCTCTCTTTTAGCATCTGAAGCCTCTCATTAGCCTTTTCAATCTCTAACTCTAAAAAAGTATTTTTCTCCATAGCATCCCTCTTAAGAGCTTCAATTTCGGACTTTAATATAACATTTCTCTTGTTAGCCACCAACACTTGCTCACGTAGGCTAGAATTAGAGGATGGAGCTATCACGCCATGTCCGAGGCCACCCACATAAGTTGATGTCGTACTAAGAACTTCATCTACAATATCATCCTCGGTCATTGGAGAATCATTGTCTCTAACTGATTGAGATTCTTGAAGTTTTGCAACCATGGTATCCTATAATTCAAATAATGGTAAATTTTGTTAAAGCAAAAGATTGATACATGAAAGGATAGAAAATAAATAAATAAATGGTTTCTTTACAGACAGAAAATATAAACAACCATCCGTTATGTCGTTCAACTGTTTTAGTTGACAGGACATGCATCCATGTAGGAGTTAACTGTTTTAGTTAATCCATTCCGTATGTATGAAGGGGTAGGACTTAGTTTTTTGATCTAATCCATCCCTGATATGTCATCGTCCCATACCGGTACATATAATGCAAATGATCCACAAATGATGCAACATTTTATTCAGTACATCAAACATATCCATATAATCCAAATAGACAATAAAGAGAATCTAAACAGTTTATCATCTATAAACCAAAATCCATCCACGTAACTAACAAGACAAAGTTTAATAGTTCACCAAATTAATTATCCAGCATCCATCCAAGTAATTGACAAAAAATATATATAATTAATTCTTCAATTAATTCTAGGCCAACACCCAATTAGATTGACAGAACCTAAGTACTAGTTCAGCAATCTAAGTCCAAACCCTAATCCCAATAATTGCAGTGTAGTGCTTAATATTTCAGCAATTAAAATCCCAAGCTTAATTCCACATATCGTAGTACAGAATCAATATTTCCAACAATTAACATCCAAGGTATGCATAGATCAAACATGATATATAATGACCCTAGCATGCAACCAAAAATCAGATTTATGAATATATATATATAATCCGTTAAATTGCTAAAATTAAATTAGGCAATTAAACTCCTTCCATCCGTTAACAGCCGACACTGCTGTAAACTTTCCTACTGTTAAATCCAAGAGTACAAGACATTAATTTATTTAGTGTGGCTCTAGTATAGCCTAATATCATGTTTAAAGTCCATGCTTCAATCCGTAAAATTTTTAAAACAAGATTTAGCAATTTAGTCCTTCCTTACCGTTAGCATCTTAGAAAGTTCAATTATACTGTTTGTTCTATTAATTTAGAGGTCAACTTTAATCAATTTAAGATCTTAATAACACCCAAAATCAACTTCCTAATTCCTCTGTGAAATCTCAGAACCATTAGAACAGTTTCCATGCTCAAACAGTAACCACAGTTCGTAAAAAAAAAAAATAGCAGAATGTCCAATTTGAAGAGAGCCTGTTCCAAAAACTTTTGGAGCAGGCTCAAAGTGTTTGGAGCTGCCTCCAAAAAGGGGGGAGCCGCCTCCAAACTTCTGGAGCCGGCTCTCTCCTTCTTTGAGCCCACTGTTCCGCTTCCTTCTTCGTTTCCAATGATCTGCTTCGACCCCGGCCACTTCCACTCCTTCTGTTTGTTTTTAGAACTCTTCCTAAGAGTCCTAAGTATGTCCAGAATCATCCCACCCCTTACTTAAGTCAGTTTGTTTTAAATCAAAACCCTAGAACTTTCACCGATTAACCATGCTTAGGAAGAATAAACACTGTAACCAAACCATACTTGCATGAACTATAACAAAGTTAATTCACGCATACAAAATAATTGATTTAACATATAATAAGCATGTAAGGTTCAATTTAAAAATTAATTTAGAAACCCTAGAGATTATCTAAGGATGCACAGAACACAGGCCAACGGGAGAGAGAAAGAACAGAACTTGCCTGTGATTTCAATTATGAAATCTCGAGTCCACTGTTCCGGCAACATGAACCACTGTAAAGCCTCCTAGTGCTCTGGAATAATCCACCAAAATCCCACCTTGGTCCCCTCTGTTCTTCTCTTGCCAACCCTTACGGTGTTTTGTTCCTTCTACCCTCTGTTTTTACAGAATTAACTTCACGTTTTTGTGCTATGAGTTATGAGCGTAAACCCTAGGCTACAGCATAATGGTTGTATTTATAAACTTAATACAAAAACCTTAATCCTTGTAATATTAGAGACAGAGCCCTAATGCTACCCCAAGTCGGCCCATAAAGCAACCAAGATTTATCCATGTTGGTTAAACACACTGTCTTCCTAGAGACCCTAGTAAACTAACGTAATAACCAAAACCTCATTTAACTTATTGATACTAAAATTAATAATTACTAAATTAATTCATTTAAACATACAAGCCAATTAAATAACAATTTGTCAATTAAATCAATTAAAAATACAAGTAAAAACAATCTATTTAAATCAACCAATAAAATAAAAACAAACAATTAAATAGAACAAAATCAAACAATTAATTAAAAAAAAATCAAACAATTAATTAAAATAAACCACTACTCAAATAACCAATTTGACACATAAGCACTTAGCCACAAAATCAAATTAAAATTTCACACAAAATAAAATTCAAATTCCAATCTTATCCTTTGGAAAACTAGGGGTATTACAATGCTCCCAGATACAAGCCTAAACTGTCGACGATGCTCCCAGATACGAGCCTAAACTGTCGATGATATTCCCTGACACGAGAATAAACTGTCAACTTGAAAAAAATGACACTCCTTGACACGAGTTTAAAATGTCTACCTAAAAAAAAAAAAAAAAAAGAATCAAGAACTCCTTGATACGAGTTTAAACTGTCTCCTAAAAAAAAAAAAATGACACTCCTTGACACGAGTTTAAACTGTCTACCTAAAAAAAAAAATCAAGAACTTCTTGATACGAATTTAAACTGTCTCTCAAACAACAAAAAAGATGACACTCCTTGACAAGAGTTTAAACTATTTACCTGGAAAAAAAATATATCAAGAACTCCTTGACACGAGGTTAAACTGTCTTCCAAAAAAAAAAATGACACTTCTTGACACAAGTTTAAACTGTCTACCTAAAAAAAAAATATCAAGAACTCCTTGATACGAGGTTAAACTGTCGCCCAAAAAAAAAAAAAAAAAAAAAAAAAAAAATGACACTCCTTGACACGAGTTTAAACTGTCTACCTGAAAGAAAAAATATCAAGAACTCCTTGATACGAGGTGAAACTGTCTCCCAAAAAAAAAACTACACTCCTTGGCACGAGTATAAATTGTCCACCTGAAGAAAAAAAAAAATCAAGAACTCTTTGACATGAGTATAAACTGTCTACCAAAAAAAATAAAATAAAAAATAAAAAAATTGTGAACTACATGATGACTTGATCCCTGTTTAGGGTATGTAGGCATCTAGGAAGTTTGTTCCAAGTTCAGTCAACCTAAAAAAAAGGGCAAAGTGTGTTCATCGCATGATATCAAAAGTGATTAGTCACACCCTGTCAACTTGGCACGCCACCAAAGTGTAGCTGCAAAAAGAATTTTGGTTTGTTGTCGTAGTTGTAGCTACAAAAGAAATTTTGATTCGGCAAAGTGTAGTTGCGAAGAAATAAATTGATTCGTCGTCAAACTGTAGCTGCCTAGAAAAATTTTGCTCACCGCCGAGGTATTGCTGAGAGAGAAATTTTGCTTGATGCCAAGGCGTCGCTGAAGAATTCGGTTCATCACCACGATGTTGTTGTAAAACTCACCACTGAAGTGTCGTTGAAAGAAAAAAAAATCTGCTCGCCGCCGAGGTGTTGCTGAAAGAAAATTTTGGCTTTCCGTCAAGGTATTGCTAAAAAAATATTTGCTCGCTGTCAAGGTGTTGCTGAAAGAGAAATTTGGCTTTCCGTTGAGGTGTCATTGAAGAAATAGTTCACGGTGTCGCCAAGATATTGCTGAAGTAAAAACAAATCACCACACGGAGGCATAGGCATGCAAGCTTTGTCTGTCACATCCTTACAGCATCTGCAACAGATCTCTATCTTCGAGACAAATATGCACAGCACACTTGTGTAACTCGGTAACTTCATGTCAAGTGGCTATTGGTTGAGTCAAATCTTTTGGTGGAGCTTCGGCTTGAAATCATCATCAAATTTGGCGATGGTTAACAATGCTGGTGGCATGACCTCTCGGAGTATGGTCTCGCTCTATCAATGGCTGCTGGATGATCCATAGCTAATGAAGATGCTCTGGCGGCGGGTGTTGACAACGTTATCTGAACTAGTGGTAAAACCTCTCTCCATCTACATCTATCGTTGCTCTCTGGGCTGATTCATGGCTACTGACGACACTACCTATGCTGGTGGCATGACCTCTCGGAGTCCGATCTCGCTCTATCAATGGCTGCTGGATGATACATGGCTGATGAAGACGTTCTAGCGGCGGGTGTTGATAACGTTGTCTGAGCTAGTGGTAAAACCTCTCTCTATCTACAGCACAGACAATCTGGCGGCGGGTGTTGACGAAATCATCTACATCTGTCGTTGCTCTCTGGGCTGATTCATGGCTGCTGACGACACTGTCTGTGCTGGTGGCATGACCTGTCAGAGTCTGTTCTTTTCCAAAACGGTGATAGTATAGGGCTTGAAACTCTTGAAATACACCATTGTTGACTAGCAGCCCCTGAAAAAAAAAAGGGGGGGGGGGGGGGGGCGGGGGGGGGGGGGGGGATTGGCATGCATGGACGATTTTTGTTCCAAAGGAACAATGGGTCCTTACGAACTAGTTACATTCCAAAAGAACAAAGGGTCCTTGCGGACTAGATGCGTTCTAAAGGAACAAAGGGTCCTTGTGGACTAGTCGAGTTCCAAAGCAACAAAGGGTCCTTGCAGACTAGTGGCGTTCCAAATGAACAAAGGGTCCTTGCAGACTAGATACGTTCCAAAGGAACAAAGGGTCCTTGCAGACTAGTGGCGTTCCAAATAAACAAAGGGTCCTTACGGACTAGTTACATTTCAAAGAAACAAAGGGCCCTTGCGGACTAGGCGTGAAAAAAAAAAAAAATGCTTACAATTTATACTCAAAGAAATTTAGAGGACCAAAAAAAATAATAATAATAAAAATAAAAAATTCCTCCAGGAAGCGTAGAGGATGAAAGGAGGGAAAACAAAAGTGAAAAGGAGAAAAATTACGTGAAAAAAAAAAAAAAAGAGAGAGAGAGAAAAAGGAAAGAAAAAAAAAACAGAGAAGAAAAAAGTTTTTGCGTGAAAAAAAAAAAAAAAAAAAAAGCGAGAGAGAGAGAGA